ATTTCAAGGCGCAAGAGTCATTCGACAAGGGGGGTAGGTTAGTTGCTTGGTCTTATGATGAGGAGGTATGTAGGTTAGCTCTTGCTAGGATGATAGTTAGGGATGAACTGCCTTTTAGTTTTGTTGACGGACCTGGGTTTAGGGATTTTATAAGTCATGTTCAACCACAGTTTAAGAAGTTTTCACGTAGAACTGTTGCTAGAGATATTTGGGAGTTGTATGAGTCGGAGAGGATTACAATAAAAAATATCTTAGCCACTTATGGACAGAGAGTTTCACTGACCACTGATACTTGGACTTCGATCCAAAATATCAATTACATGGTGCTCACAGCTCACTTTATTGATGATGATTGGATTTTACACAAAAGAATCTTGAATTTTTGTGTGATACCAAACCATATGGGGAAGACTATTGGACAGCTAGTTGAAACTTGTCTTATTAAGTGGGGAATAGAGAAAATTTTCTGCATTGTTGTTGATAATGCTTCTCCTAATCAAGTGGCTTTAGATTACATGAAAGAGAAGATAGGGAATTGGAATGAACTAGTCCTAAAAGGGGAGTTTCTGCATATGAGGTGTTGCTGTCACATTCTTAACTTAGTGGTTAAGGATGGAATGGCAGAGCTGGACTCCTCGATTGAGTCCATTAGAAATTGTGTGAAGTACATTAGATCAAGTCCTTCTAGGTTGGAGAAGTTTAGAAAGTGTGCAACTCAAGAAAAAGTGGAGCACAAAGGTGGGATAGTGCCTTTGGATGTTTGCACTAGGTGGAACTCTACATACTTAATGCTAGACATAGCCATTAAGTATCAGAAGGCATTTCTTAGGTTAGAGGATGAGGATCCACAATTTGTTTCATACTTCAATGATAGAGCTGGACCTCCAATTGCAGAGGATTGGAACAAATCTGAAAGGCTGGTGAGGTTTTTGAAGATTTCTTATGAGGCAACCCTTGATTTCAGTGGGACACAAGTTGTGACTTCGAATCAGCCAATCCAATGGATGTGTACACTGATTGGAGAGATGAACAAGTGCATCGATGGTAAACTATTAAACTTCATCTCAAATTTACTTTTATGATTTTATCTTCTTTTTTTATGTCTTTAATAATTTAACAATTTTAACTAAATGCCTCTTATGCGTATTTTTGCAAGGTAATGATGTATTGCTTGCCAAAATTGCCAAATCAATGAAGGAGAAATTCGACAAATATTGGGGGAAGGTTGAAAACATCAACAAAATTCTTCTCATTGCAGTTGTTCTAGATCCAAGGTATTGCACTATTGTTTACTGATAAATTGAATCACAATCATTTATGATGCTATTTTACACCTCCATGATGAGAACATATATTCACAATGGAGCTGCTAGAATTTATGGGTTTGTTATTTTAGCTTGTAATGGACTCAAGGGGATGAATGGATCCAGCTCCTCATAGCTTGCACAAAGAGCTTATATGTGCAATGCACTATCTTTGATACTGTTCTATACTTAAATTGATAATTTGCCGTAAAAGTTGACACAGATGATAACTAAGTTATGGTGTATCCTTATGTTGCTATTTGATACTGTTCATATTTCTTAAGAGTTCCTGAGACTTGAAAAGCTATCAAAGGACTAGTAAAGGGCCAGATGTTGCTATTTGATTTTGACCCGAGAGAGGCCCATCACCAAATTCTAAAAAGATGTAATTGATTATTATCTTCAAAGGACTAGTAAAGGGCCAAACATTGACGCTGGTTGACGCACATAGAAACTATTAACTAGAGAAATGCAATAGGCCAATACCATTGGGTGTTTTCTTCAAGAACAGGTGCTAATAAACTTAGTTCTGCATTCTAAATAACTTGGAATCTTTTGTTATTGAATTTAAACTGTAAAATATTATGTGAAGCTTGCATCAAATATTTACTAGATTATCTTATTTAAGAGCTTTGTATCATCAGCATCAAGAAATGTGGACTACGACTACCTGGGGGTTATATACATGACTACAGGAGTGGCTTATCCTTTTTGTACTTGGATTTATTACAATTTCTTTACTACTTTTCTTATTGCATCTGTTGGTAGTGTTATTCTGTTTACATATTTATTATGTTTTGTTTTCAGGTACAAGTTTCTGTACTTGGATTTCTTTTTCCCCAAATTGAAGATGGACAAGAAGCTGGCGGAGGTGTTGGTGATTAATGTGAAGAGCACCTTGCAGGAGCTCTTCAATGAGTATGCAGCTAATGATCCTGATGCTGCCATTGCTTCTTATAATTCAACTCAGCCAATGTCAGCCACAAGTGGAATAGTTGATGAGGAGGACAGCCATTCTGCAACTGTGAATGAGTTTGTAAAGCTTCGGCAGGAGAAAGATGTGGTGGAGATAAAGACTGAGGTTGACAAGTATATGGTGGAGGCATCTGAGGACCCTAGAAACCCTAACTTTCAACTGTTAGGTTGGTGGAAAGAGAATTCAGCTAGGTTCCCAATTTTGTCTCAAATTGCAAGAGATATTTTTGCAGTGCCTGCCTCAACAGTAGCATCTGAAAGTGCTTTTAGCCTTGGATCAAGGATTCTGGATCCATTTCGTGCAAGTCTGACTCCAAAAATGGTTGAGGCTTTGGTATGTACTAGTGACTGGTTGAGAGACACTAGCAAGCCAATGTTTAAGCCAGTGTTTATTGAGCCTATCAAGACTGAAATGGAGCAGTATTCTGAGTTGGAAAAGCTCACATCAGGTAGCTATTTTTTTTTGCTTTTGAATTTATATATCTCTGTTGTTTTGTAAGTATGGTTTTTAAAGGTAATTTCTCTTGTTTTTGTAGAATCTGTTGTCACAGATGCTTCAGCCTCATCATCACAGACCATGTAGAATTTGTCGAAGTGGGGATTTGCTGTTGCTTGTTTATAATTTCAATGTACTGAACTTAAGAACTTAAGTAGGTGTTCATTTAATTATTTCTGGATTATTTGCATGGTTTGTAACTAAGTAACTCTTTAATGAGTTTATTATTGTGGTATGATATGTACTTGTTGATATGGTTTGTGCTCATTTTACTTATTTTAGTTTTGATTTGATGGATAATTGAATATAACTGAAACTTGCCCAGATTTTTGTGAAATGAAGTTAATTCGGTTTAAAACCGAAACCGAACCGAACCGAATTTCGGTTCGGCCGAATATTCGGATGAAGGGAAAAAAATCTGGATCTGGATAAGAGTTTTGAGAATCCGAAAAATTCGGATTGGATACGGATTAGGCTTAAAACAGAACCGAACCGAATATGCCCAGCCCTAGTCAAAAGTTCACTGGGCGACAGAAAGCCTGTCGGTCGACCGGTCCGGTCGACCGATGAAAATTTTCGGTCGACCGACGAATTTTCCGGTCGACCGACGAGTGTTCCTTCAGCTTCCAACGGCTAGTTTTTTGACCGTTGCCTTGAGGCTGTTTTGTCTTTTGCTCTGATTTTTTTTGGCTGAGTTGTGAGAGGGTATAAATACCCCATTGTCTTCAACTCTCAAAAATCTAAGAATGTTTTAAAGAGAGTTTTAAAAACAAGTTTAAGGAGTTTTGTTTAAGGGTTTAGTGTTTGTTTAAAAAGCTTTTAAGCATTTACAAAAGTTTGATTTGTGGAGCAAATTTCACAAGAGCAAGTGATATTGTTTTATCTCTTTAATCACACACAACCTATTGAGCTTATTGTATTTACATTCATAGTATAATTTGGGGTTGTGGGTTTGTGACTAAGAGTAGTGCTTAATTGAGTTCTCACCTTGTTTAGAGAACAATCAATTAATTTATATTGTGCTTAATTGTGAGGATTCACTTGTAATACACTTGTACACCGAGAGAAGTGTGTGGTGAGAGACGGGGTCGAATCCAAGAGGAGTGGCGTCGGTTGACGTGCCTAGGAGAGGTTGTAACCGAGCACTTGAGGAGGACACGGGCTAGGACCAACACTTAGTGTGTGAGGTGTGATTGCATAGTGATTGTATTGTGAGGTGTAAACGTTATTCGGGTGAATGTAGAAAACCCGGTTGAGATAGTGGAGATCTCCTCGAGGTGAGGAGCGGAGACATAGGTCGTGGGGACCGAACTCCGTAATCATATTGTTTGTTTGTGATTGCATTGGCGCACTTACTTTTATGTTCATATCTTATATCGCCTTTGTATATTGCTTGTTGATCATATTGCCCACTATCTAGTTTAGATTGTTTACCCTTGAGTTTATATATCCTTGCTCATATACTTGTAATATCTCATTGATAGGATATATTCATTTGTTCATATTGCTTATCCTAGCTTACATATCTTGTTGTATTTCATACTTGCTAGGATAACTTGTTAATTAGTTTTTTAATTGGCATTTAATCGGATTAGATTAGCATAAGACCCTAATCACCCTCCCTCTAGGGTCTAACAAGTCACGTTTCAAAGATTGTACCTCCTAATTACGTGGTTTAACAAACTTTTTTTCCCTCCATGATCAGATTATCAGAACAAGTTTATCCTTTTTGTCACCATTCATGAGAAGGAATAGATGAACTTACTCATCAAATATAATCTTTGCGCGGATAAAGGATGATGAGTCTCCCCCTTGATCGTAGTACGACTGCCTTCACATTTTCTAGACTAAACTGGATTTGATGTTTTCCCCCTTTGCATTAAGAAAAGATGTTTCTATAATTGGAGAGATAGATTACCAACTATACTTTAGAATTAATATAAAACCATAATCCTCCATCTTTACCATAAGTCCAGAGTTTCGATGTGATATTTAGAATCTTGCTGGCCACAAATTTAATGTGGATTTTAAAAAAAATTATTGCGGCGTGGGTTGGGGATGCTAGAATTAATATAAAATAATTATCCTTCATCTTTACCATAACTTCGAAGTTTTGGTCTAATGGTTAGAGAGTTTTAATTTAAGACTATAATCACATCACAAATTTTTAATGTACGCCGTGTATTGCTTAAATATCATCTAAGTTCTTTATGAATGAAACTTACCAGTTGGGGTTTGCAACGTCGCCTTCATCATTAGTCTTTTAGTTGAGATGTCGTTAAATCTTGCTGCATGCTAGTAACGTGGCAGAACAAAGTTATAATTCCACTACTTTTTTATTGATTGAATGTCCTTCATGTTGTTGATGTGTTAGCAAGATCTAACGTGAGTCTGTAGAAAATACCTACAAGTGAGGACGAATGTGATGTTAGGTACTCCCACTAATAAGTTACATAAGAATATGTTGATGCATGTGGTTAAATCTGGAATAAAACAGATAAATATGTTAGAAAGATGAAGTATTATATATATTTTTTTAAGTTTAGCTACTGTGCGTTTATGAAACGTTATGCTTAAAGCAATATTTGACCTATTCCGGTGTAAGGATCTCAATGCCAAACTACTTCTATTTTTTTAAGTCTAGCAACTTATTATTCACGAAGTTTGATATAAGCTGAAAGTTGATTAAATATAATATAATATAGTGGCACGGTTCATTTGTGGATGGCTGGATAAAAAAAATCAGGGAACTTATAACTGAAGACGATCATAAAGGAGTCAAAATATTATTTTCAGGTAAGTACAAAACATGAGGTGTTACGAAAGAACCCAGTAGAAAACTCAGATACAAAGTTAAAACCTATAAGCATGTATTAGAGGATAATTTAATAGTAGAATTCTTTTAGTTAAGGTTGATATTTTTTTCAATAATTGGTAATTAGAGGTTACCTGGGTATTAGTGTTAAATATTTAAACTAGCCCAAGCATTACACCTATCCTATTGTGTTGTCACTCACTAAAGCTCATTTGGACACTCGCCGCGTCTTCTCCTAATCAGCTCCTTAGTAACTTATGACCACCTGGACTTCCAGACTTCGTAACTTTTGATCCAATAATCCAACTGAGATAATTCAAGTTTTTGTCAAAGATCTCTTTGATATCTATGTATTACGAGTTATAATTTTACTGCAGTGACTTTCCATTGGGACTGATTTAGAATGTTTGTGACTGAACAGTAAACTGTCCAGTTTCCAGGGTTGACCACCTGAACTTTCAGTGTCCATAGCTTTTGATCCGATTGTCCAAATAGAATGATTCAGGATTCTGTTGAAAGGTATCTTCAATAGCTACACTCTGGTATACAATTTATAGCCATATGATTTCGTATGAGGTCCTGAAACAGCTATATAAATTGACTGTATACTAAATTCCTGCACACAGAGATTTCTGTGCGTCTATAAGAAAACAGTCATAACTTTTATATCACAGATCAAATCAGTATGTCATTTGCAGCATCATGAAAATAACGGATAGATCATGCATCGATATGAAGATTCAATAATTTTGAAGTCAATTGGAGCTGCAGACAGTCAGATAAAGTGACTGATACACCAAAATCTTACTCTGTTTTGGTACAAACAAAAATTCATGGTTTCCTAAGAAATTAAGAAATAATCTTAAGAGTGATTCTACCTTATAAGTAGATATATGAACTTGATATGAACTTGACAGAACACTATAGAAAAGGAAATTTTGGTGTTAGAATTGTGTAACCAAATCATCAATAACAAATCGACTAGACCTCATAGTTGTCTAACTAGAGAGTCAAAAATGACACATTAGCATGAACTAGTTAACTATAATTGATAGTATGTGGTGATCTAATATATGTGAACGTGTAGGTTAACAATCCCAGACTTGGACGTTGAACTTGAGAATCCAACTCAGATAACCAGCAGGTAACAATTCCTAGGTTTTGAGTCATTTCTTGGAATTTTTGTACGCAACCTTTGTGCTACGAGTGCTACTTTACTTGTTTACATGAAAGTTCATGTCTGAAATACAAGTGATTGATATTCATATTTCTTGATTTGTGTCGCTCGACATTTTCATGTTTTGAGTGATGATTTATATGTTTGGCAGTATCATTTAATAAAATCTCTTCAAAATTTGCGGTCATGCATTTTTCTTTCATGCTCTATTTTGGTGGACCATTGCCCTGAGTGAAGTAATGCTTCACCGGTGAGTGTATAAATGAAGGCATGTGTGTGATATAGTCCCCTAATTGAGAACAACTCAGAATCCTATAAATAGAGCGTGACTGTCAACTGATAGATATATTTGAGATTTTCAGTTCTGATATTTTGATATTCTTGCGCGTGTGATAATTTCCATTGATGCATTCCTAACTTTCTTTGTGTTGCCTACTAAGCCTTTCGCTCACCACCCATTGTGTTGCAGCATTTATCCACAGGCGACTACCCGAGCCAAAGTAAAGAACATATAGCACCAACTGATCTCTAGATATGAAGCGTTAATTATGATTCTGCAACGCATTTTGTGAATTATAGAATCAAGACCTTATGACTATGTAGTAGTTAAGTGTTGCCGTTGCAATTATCCACTATGAAGGTATTCTACATAGACTCTACTGTCAACTTTAGGACTATGGGAGTTGATATGTGCACATTTAATATGTAATAGAATTTTGTGAAATTTTAAGATGGTATATTTGGGTGGGGAGGTTACAATTTGAATTTTAAAAAAGGATGCAATGAATTCAATCTCTCAATCTCAAAAAATAAAAGGAAAGAGGATAAAAAACTAAGCTTTTCCTTTCCTCAACTAAAAACTCAATGACCTTAGATCTAAAAAGATTTCTTTCATTTCTGACCTTTGTCCTTTGCCCTTCGTCGAAAGACAACAATGACATGGACCGTACTGCGAGCTTGAGTTCTCTTTACGCAAAGAAGATGAAGATCTTTGGGCGATCTTGGGCTTGCACCTTCAATCTGTAGGGTCTCTAACAATTTTTATCAATTTTGTTTATTTTGACCAAATTTAGAGGAAATTACAGCTATTGATCTTGGAGTAAAGTTTTTTTTCTTTTTATTTCTGTTAAATTAGGGTTTTCGTCTTCACTTTTCTTCCTTTTGCTTCAACCTTTGAGATTGAGGAATTTTGAGAAACAAAGGAGGTGCTAAAATCTTTTGTGCTTTCTTGATTACATTATTCAGGTGAGAATTATAAGTTACTTCATAATCTCATTTATGATCTCCTTTGTTGCTTGAAATTAAAAGTTACTTTCTTATAACGTTTAAATCATATGGACTCTTCATTACTCAATCCCCCACTTTAAGACTGAGACAACCTTTAGTGGCACCACAATCTCATTGCTAAATATTGCATACATGGAAGATTTTGATAGTTTTAATTAAGAGATGCATTGTTTGATTTTCTTTTTTGCTAGTAGTTACTAATAAGAATTGTGACTTGATAGTCTGAAAGTTCAAAGTGTTAATTTTGTATTGTTTATGACAATAAGTGATCAAGTAGAAGGAAATTGCTAGTTTAAAGTTGCTTGATCCTAAGTTGTAACGAAGTTGCAAGTATTTTTTTTTTTTTTTGTTAAAATTCATGTAATTTGTTGGATCATATTGCCTAATACTGTGATACTGTGTATTGCAACTTTCATTAATTATGTTGCCCTCTCTAATTTTAAGGTTAACATTTTGAATTCTAAGATAAACTCATATAAAGATGCTCATATGTGTATGTAACTCTTTATAAGCATTCTTCTGTGCAGTCATTCTAATTGATCTTTATTGTGGTAAATAAATGTTGGCCTTATATGAATTTGAGTTTCTATGTTGCCTCATTAGCTAATGCGAAGATAAGAACACATAAAGATATTTAGATAGTAATTTTTCAAAGATAGTTTGATAAAGACGGTGCCTTTCATATTACAAATTTTTTCTATGTTTTTGGTAAATAGGAACCTGTAAGAAAGGTACCTTAGGCACTTTAGAAAGATTACTGGGTAGGAAGCTTTCTCATAATATATGATTCCTAATCTGTATAATGTCTCCAGGGAGCACATAGACTAGATTTTCTATGAATTAGGAGTAATTTATATAATGCTTTAATTTTGGACATTTTAACGTAAAGGGAGTCAAACTTAGAAAAGTATTTTTCTTATTTCATATTCATTTTAAATTTTTAACTATTTATCCTTCCAAGGTGTTCATTGATGTTAAATGAATTTCGAAATTTCTTTTTTTCTTTCATATTGCTTATATAATTTATATTTGACAGGTTAACGAAGATGTCAATGACTGAATTCTCGAGGACTTTTACATTGATAAGTCTGATTTTGCTTATGATTTAGAACTTTTTGGGGTTGTTTCACTTATTTCCATAACTGATTTGATCGATCCTTTAATCTTCCAATAGATTTTGATTATTCTTTTCGTAGATCCATTCCTTCATCACAAGAACAAAAACCAAGTAGTCCAGGAGGCATAGGCACACCTCAACCAAAGGGGTGAGCACCTAATGCATCTAATATTTAATTTTTTTCATTTTGGCAAAAGATTATTTTATTTTGTATTTTTTAGCTGATGGACCCTAAGTTATTGAGGAACCAGAGGTACAGAAGGAGGCATAACAAGAATGGAGAGGTTGGAGCCAAGAAAGATGAGTAGAGTATAAACACAGTTAAGGTTGTGTTTCTTTAAATTATGCTTTAATCAAACATATGTTTTGCTTATGGATCTTATGCTTATGTTTTGATATACTACTTTCCAATTGAGCTGTTCAAGTAATTACATCATTTGGGATTATACATATTCTAATGTTGCCTGTTCTTTCCTTAATTGTTGTCAATTAGGTTCACTCTATTTATTTATTGCTCTGACGCAATTTAACTTTTAGAAACTTCCTATACATTTATGATGTGAGTTTTAATGTTTACATGAAAATGTTGAATCATTTTTATAGTTAGGTTGTGTCAATATTGATTCATATTTGCTTTGAAATGTTTCCATTTAATTAAGGTGAACTTGAGATGATTAGAGATCTGTTAGTGAGAATTACTAGAAAAAACAATTAGAACAATAAAACTTTCAACATTTTTTGTATTTTTACTTGACTTTTTTAACTTTTTTCACAATTAATTAATTTTTCTCTTCTCTATATTTTGTCTATCTAAAATTAATATAAAAATTACCTTTTCTAACTTTAATCATTCACTTACAATCTTACTAGTTTTTGTTTAATTATTTTGTTTTTGTAATGAGTGTATGGGCACCAAAAGGCCTCCAGACTATGTTGTCATTGACTTCATGATCATCAATCATGAAGATGCTCTAGACGCAATTTGTCGGGTTGGATGGTATGTAGCAAAGCCTGTTGATTTTTACGATGTTTGTGTTTGAGAATTCTTTTTATCCTAGTTCGTACTATTTTCAACCACCCGCTAGAAAGAAACTTAAAGAATAAAAAAACTCCGTGCGTTAAGATGTAATTATTTTAGCGCTCTTAATGATCTCAAGCTTCTGTCACATTGCAATCTCAATTTCTTAATTTCTTTGTTTATTGAAAACTGATCTATATTAGGGGGTAGATGATGATTTTTTTGGTAAAATGCTTAGTAATAGTATTTTTTAGCCAATTTCTTCTTTTTTTGTGTATTATGTTCCTGTTAGGTTGATAAAACACTATTACATAGCAATATAAAATGGATTTTTTTTTGCAAGGACATTTATCAAGATGATAGTGTTGACTCTATTACAAGGTCATACAGTAACAAATTCTGGATAATAGCATAAACATGTTATCGTTTAGATACAAAAAACTACAAAAAAAATCTATTTTCAGTTTAGGTGATAACAAAAGCATATGACAATTAGGTTCACAAATAATCAAAACATATATGCAAGCCGTACAATGAACTGTAACTTAATCCAATTTACATGATATTTCTAATGCAACTGCAAGTGCTCACCCTGTCGATTAGTTAGCCTTATTGTCTATAATATTATTACAGTAACTATGTCACTGCATGTTGATATTTAGATCTTACAAGATAAACAGGTGAGAAAAATCTTGCACATATTAACACTTTACTCCTCTGAGTAACAGACTAAAAGTCAAGGCAATAAAGTAATGACAAATGATGTCTTATTTACTCGTAGTAAATCAGGAAAATCAATATGGGATTGATGGGTGTAAGATAATTGTTGTTTATTTCTGTGTATTTAGATAAATTTAGAGGTTATTTGGTACATTTACATTAATATATACGCAACTGTTTTAACATCTTCTGTTTTTTATTTAAGAGACAAACAATTGAATTTCTGTGTCACTATTGTGTACTCCTTCATGTGAATATGAGACTAGAAACATATCTATCCATAACAGATACCATAAACTATTATTCCATTATTTATTGGAAGTTTAAACAACTTTATATGCTAGTTTTAATTGTTTCCATAAACAGAATATCCGTCAATTATTTCTATAAATAAAACATTAAATATAATGAAATAAATAGATAAATGCTTATACTAAAACAATTTTGTGAGATAAAAAGTAACTTCTTTAGCTTGAAGTTGTATAACATAAGAAAGTACTTCACAAATTTGAAGTTGAGAGGTTTAAATATATGTAAGGTGTTTATAAAAGAATTGGACTGTACAGTAATTAGGTGAATGTGTGTGTGTTGAAAATAAATGGCTACAATATTCAAGTGATTGTTCTTATTTATGGTAATTGGAAATGTAATATTTTGTGATATCCGAAAAATAAGTTGCTTGCTGTGCTTTGCATAGGTAAAATACTAGTAAAACTATAATGGTGGAAGTGATCAAGAAGAAAACGTTTAAACTACCATGCCATGGAACAATGAATGAATCACGGACTTATACAGCAAGAGATTGTGAAATAGTAAACATCATAAGCCCAAACAAAGACCAAAAAGGGAGGCAAATGCATTACATAATAAATAAATAAATAGTATATCCTAACTCTACAGAACTCATATGCTAAAATTCATCAACGAAATGAAGAAAACGAGAAAAGATCAAACCTTTAAGCCTAATAGAGAGGGGTTTCTTCCCTCTTAGCCCAAGAACTACAAGAGGCTCCAGAAAGTAACCAATGGATCGACCAACACCGCAATCATGCACCAAATTCCTCCCTCCCATCAAAACTCCAGGCTTGTACTTCAGCTTCGTCCCTAAATCCCAACAGATAATATGAAAAGGCAGTTAACTTCACTAAACTCAAACACCGACTTCAAAACCCAAAACCCTAAAAGCAAACAACTTTCATTTACCGGTTTCATTGATTTCGACCTTGCAGTCATCGGAGATCTTCTCGATGAGGCGGAGCAGCGAGATTTCGTAGGACCTGAGCCCTGGCGGGGTCTCGTTTGATCGAATCTCTTCGACGATGATCGATCGATGAGAGAGAGTCGAGAGGAGGAGACGCTGTCTGAAATGGCGACTGCCTTTGAACCTCATGTATGAAGGCTTCTCCATTGATTGAGTCTGAAGGGAAATTTTTTCGATGGAAAATAAACGAGAAAGCTTGGTTTTTGGGGGCAAATTTGTTAAGCCAGAGAAATAAAAGCTAGGGTTCGGTCGGCTAAAAGGGGAGAGAAGGCCGACGGTTTTGTCGAAACGCGTGCAGGGGAAAATTTTCCAAAACCTCTTAACGTTTGGTGGCCACGGGATGCTTCGCTCGATGCTCGTGTCGAATCTGCTTTCCTTGGACCGTTCGACTGAAGTTGCTGGGGAGCTTCAATACGCAGCAGAAGCTCGAGTTGATAGAGTTCGGATCTTCTAGTTCACCGGCGATCAGGGCTCAGAACTAGGAAGTGGGGCTGCGATGCAAAGATTGTGCAAAGAGCTTGGTCTCGATTCGCTTCCGCCCTTTCCAAAGTTTTCCGACCTCTTTTAAAGGTTGTTGGAAGAGGCTCTTAAATGAAAGAGAGACAGCTTGGCTGTCCCCTGAATTATGGGATGTGACCATACATTGCTCAGAGATATCCTACTGTTCACCTGTACCATGAGCGGTCATTCGAGGAGCCATGTTTTGCATCACGTTATGTAGGAATGGGAAAGCCCCTCCTCGTACGTGTGACAACTCACTAAGCACCGGCGGCTCTCGCCTCTCGCTTGGACAAGTGAGGTAAGTCGCATTTATGAGGGTGCAGGTTGATTTGGCGTTTGTCCAATCACTTGTACTGTGAGCACCTCGGTCGAACCGTCCAAGGGAAGCAGACTCGGCACAAGAATCGAGCGAAGCATACTGTAGCTACCGAAAGTCCCCACATTAAACAAGGAGGGCATTCCCTCTGCTTCTGTTATAATTTTGATTTATTAGTTTGTAATAAGCTATTCTTATTAATACAAACGAAGTTCCCTATTTTCGGGAGATCAAAATTTACACCTACAATGAGCTACGGTCGACCATCATGGTCGAACGTGATCCAATAAAAGGTATAATTTGAAAATGAACTACTGGCGGTCGACCGTGGCCGCAAACTGATACAGGCTAAAATACAGATTTTTGGCTGATTTGGAAAATACGTTAAAAATATCAAATTATTTCCAAAATTAGTAAAACTTTGGGGAAAGTTTATAAATGATAAAATAAACATGTTTGAAAAGGAATTTTTTGGAAATGCAATTATTGTTTGTGAAAACTCACTGTTTTTGAAAAGAGTTCATAAAACATGTTTCTCGTGAACACAAAAATTGAACTATGGCTTGTAAACTTGTGTATATATATCATGCATACATTATATATATATTATGAAGTATGGAAGAGATGTAAACATGAAATAAAAGCTATTGTAAAAAAGTTTGATGAAAAATCATTTGTATGATAGAAAAAGTCAAACTTGTGTTGTGTTTACATATTGAGCTTAAATATAATCATACGATATATGTAAGCAAACTACTCTTATACCTAGGTGAATGCACAAACATGAACTTGAATCTTTAACTCTTGATTGCCATGTGTTGAATTACCTGTAAAGAGAAGAAAAACCATAAAAACTAGAAAACAGATTAGCTATAAATTGTTTGACAAATCATCATCAAAACCATAGGGCCAACAATCTCCCCCTTTTTGATGATGGCAAACAATTTATTTAGTGATATGAAATTCATATGAATAAACCAAATAAACCAAACATATGAATCATGTAGTTATATATGAATAAACCAACCATATGAACAATATGAATAAACCATATAACCAAACATCAACATTACATGTAGTTTTTCCATCAATATGAATAAACCAATAAAACAAACATAATATGTGGTTTTTCTCCCCCTTTGACAACATCAAAAAGGGAAAAAAAATAGGAGCAACGCTCCCCCTGCATTCATGCACAGATTATAAACAAATGTATGGCCAATACTGCCCCTGTCAATTTGCATAAATGACATAAAAAGAACATATATGGAAGCTAAACATCCATAACCATCCATACACATCCATAAACATATGAATCAAAAGCAAAACCAAATTTTTAACACAAATAGCATCCTTAACAGCCTATTTTCATAATACATTGTTCAAAGGATCTAAAAACCATAAAAAGATAGTCATAAGCTATCATAACTACAATAAACAGAAATAGTTCCACAAGATCACATAGTTTTCAAACGCAAACCATAAAGTTATTACAACTTCAAAATAAAAGTTAAATATCCAGTTTCAGTTCTACAAAACATAAATCCACAAACAACAAGTATCAATCACCACCATCATCAGATTCAGATGCAGAGCCAGATCCCGAACCAGATATAGATCCTTCTTCAGAGCCCTCTTCAGATCCAGTGTCAGAGCTGGAAGAGGGATCCTGAATCCCAAGAGACTGACGCTAATAGCTAAGGAGAGTCCTAACATCCTTCTGAATACTCGAGACCTGAGTCTCAAGACGATCCAGACGGTCAAAGACCTCAGAAGCTGAAATAGTGGAAGCTCTAGAACGAGGATGAGAGGATGATGGTTTAGCAGGAGCAGAGGATAAAGAGTCTGAAAGTTGCATTCGATAGAGGGAAACTCTATCAAAATACTCCTTGCTTGGGTCAACTTTGGTTTCATGAGACATATCAACACTGAAATGTTGAAGGATAAGAGTGATGAAACAACCAAAGGGGAGGAACTTGAAATACTTGCATGCCATGTTTTTAAGAAAAACATTTGCCTAATTCACTTTTATCTTGACAAAAATAGCATACACAGCATTGACTTTATCAGAGCAAAGTGATCAAAGCTACCGGTCTTAGGAATGATGTTCTGAGCAACAATTCGAGCGATAATTTTGGCTGTGGGATTAAGTGATTTGTTGTTCATAGGATAAGTGCAACCGTGCTTAAACAAAAGATTGTTCACATCCTGATCGGTGTGTTCAATAGACATGAGCTCAACGTCACTTGACGGGATCTTAAGGATTTCTGCTAGCTCGTCAGCAGAAAATGATATTTGAACATTCTTAACAGATGTATTGATGGTTTGAAGACCATCAGCTGAAGATGAAACAGATAGGTTTGCATAAAATAGATAAACAAGAAATGGGTAATAGGGAACCTTATCTTCCACATCTAACAAATTATGCAACCCAACAGCAGATAGAATTTCATGAATATTATAAATGGCTAATTCAGATAGAATTTCATGAATATTATAAATGGCTAATTCCTCATATTTGATGTACCTACCAGATAGAATTTTTAACTTACAAAGGTCCCTATACTTCTTAACTAAGGATTTGAAAAGCAGAAAATTCTCATAGTTGGAGGCAAGAGATGATGAAGAACCAGTATCTTGTTTAGATTTCTTTCTAGGGGGTATTATATCAAAATGAGATCAACAATAGGGTTTGACAGATAAGATTTAAACAGAAATTGAGACTGAAACCCTAGAAATGATAATGAAACCCTAGAACAGAGAAAGAAAACAAGATTGAGAGAGGAGTTACCCAAACAAATCCCCAACGAAATTGATGAGAGAGAGCCGCGGTCGATCGACGAGAGTGACGGGCGACCGTGGGAGAAAATCGCAGATTTGGGGGGAAATTTTGAATGAGAGGAATAAAGAGGGTCGGGTCATAAGAAAAGAAAGATCAACGGCCTGGATCAGCTCATAAGATAGGATCAACGATGGTAAGAAAATCGGGTTTAAAACAGTTAGCAAATAAAAACCAAAACCCGATAAGAAAACTGAAAAAATCTCTTGCGGTCGACCGCGAGAAGAATAACAGCAAAACTTGTTTAAACCTAGATTTTGAGAGAATTTTTATTTTGGATCTTTTTGAAAAATTTGTTTTATAGGATATTATACATATATAAAACCTATTAGCTAGTAATACAAGAAAATGTTTTATTTTAACTTAATAAAAACAGAATCAACATCAAAGCTCAAAAACAACTATAAAACAAAAACAAAACAGTAGTTATGAAATAAAACTCATTTTGGTACCCAAATCATTTTGGTACCCAAATCATTTTGGTACCAATAACATTTGGGATATGACCCCTATCATGTAAATCCAATGCCCTAGGGTTATGAATCCGCTTGGGCGTATTTTGTGCGCCGATACGGTCAAAACAAAAATCGTAAACATGACCCATGCTATTGTAATTTGTGCAATGTAGGGGTTTGAATGGTTTGCGTTGACCAAAATGATGTGCACGTGGTTCATTTTTAAAAATAGATTTTTCTTTGTAATTATTTTGCAAACGAGAATTTCTTTTCAAATCAAAACAAAACATGGCAAAATGACCAAAACGATCACAATAATCACATTTGTACACGAGCATGTTTATGATTTACACTATGTGTGTGTACATGTGTATGTGATGAAAAAGCTTGATGGGATGCACAATCATGAATAGGATTGTCAATCTTTTGTGCATTATGACAAAATTGGGTTAAATGTCCTTTAAGACCGTAAATAGAATATTTGTGAATTTTGTCATACATGTGTGCATAGTGAATAGGTTTCTTAGAAGAATTAACATGGAACTTTGCACACAAGTCCATAAGCTTTTTGTTATTAGCAATACAAGTGTTTAGTGTTGAATCTAAGGTAGATATGCGTTTTCTCATTTGATTCGACTCATTATTGTGCATACAAGCATTGCTACTAGAAGTAGGATAAACATGATTATTTATCATAGATTTTGATTTATCTACTTATAACATGGCATCACATTTTTCATGAAGCAACATAGTATTTTCTAATCTCAAATTTTCATTGCATTCTTTAAGAATTATATTTTCATTTGCAATAAAATCAAACTTAGAGACTAGTGTTTCATGAGTGGATTTTATATTAACATACTTACTTTTTACATCCATATAGCAATTGTATAATTTTTCAAACTCAAGAGCAAGCTCATCAAAAGTAATAACATCATCATTGTCAAGCTCGCATACCTCACTAGGGTTATCACCTAGTGGTAGTGTACATGGAGATGAGACTTCTTTAGAACTCAAAGCAGGATTTTCCAACGTTTGTTGAATAGCCTCCAAGTCCCCTTGATGTGCTTCAATAAATTTTCATAAGGTGTAAGCACTATCAAAATGAGCAAATTTGTTATAAAAAGATGAGTGAAAGACACTAAGCAAATATTCTAACAAAAGCTTGTTCATATTAAATATTCTTTTATCATCTTTATTCCACTTGGG